CGCCGTCCGCCTCCCGGAGGCCGGTACCTCAGACCGCAAGGGCCGTGGCGTGTGTATCGCCTCCCGCGTTTAAAGAGGGGAAGCAGAGAAAGCAAAGCCCTCCTCCCCCGCGGGACCCTCGTTCTCCAGCCCCGGCCCTCCCGCCCGGGTAAACACCGTTCAGCACCGCTTGTTACACAGCAGCGTTAACCTCCGCAGAAAACCCAACCACACACACCTGCTGGGCCTGCATCCCCCCAGTTCCCAAGAAAACCTTACTCCACCTTTGAAGTACTAAGTCTGGTTGACATTTGAACTGGTTTTGGGAATGATGTCCTGCTTGGAGCCTCACCTCCGTAAGAGGGAGCAGCAGTAGGACAGAATGAGGGGAGACGGGGGTGCAGGTTCCCTCCAAAAACCCAACAAAGACATAGAACAGTGACAGGATACTCTGCTTGGTGCTCGTTTAAGGCACACTAATTTAGGGGTAAAACACATGAATTGCAACAGCCTAAGAAGTGGGGTGGTACGTCATTTCTGCCTCAATACACACCAACAAGGAAAAATGTTAGAATGGCATTTTTCTAAACACCTTTGCAGAGGTACCTTTCATACCACCTATAATTCACCCAAAACCGAGGCAGAGCTGTTATCTCCCTCTATTGCTAATTCTCTCTCAGTCAGAACACACACCCCCACATCACAGATTTATTGTTTGCAATACTTATACTTACTTTACATATAAAATACGAGTTCAGATGTTTTCCATGATCATGTTTTGGTATTAAATACCAATAGTTCAAACAGAATAATATGGGATATTATACTGCATAGTATGGGATAACAAGTCTTAAAAATGAGATATTCTTACCCAAGTAACAATTGTAAAATGCCTTTGTAGTTGACTGCCATAGTGAAAATATGCTTGAGGCATTCATTTATGAATAATACTTGTAAGGATTATTTCTTAAGGCAGAGTGGATGATTTTTGAGTAAGTATTTTATTTGGTATTGTGTCTGTCTTGACTTAATCGAGCCGCGAATTCTACTAGTGTTCTCGTAGGCCGCCCGGACATGCCTTTTCGAAGATAGGGCACCTCATCTTTATTCGACATCACACCAGCTATATCTAAATGAGCCCAGTGAGAGGCAGTCACAAATTCCTTCAGGAACGCAGCAGCTGTGCATGCTCCTCCAGCTCTGTGGGAAGCAGAAAAATTGTATTGTTTCTAAAGCAACACCAACAGCACAAACATTAAACAAATACACTGAAAGAAAGGGGCAGGTGAAGGATATTGGTACATCTTACCTGCTGTACTTTCCAATGTTACTCAGATCTGCAAGAGGACAGTCTGTTACTTGTTTTGTGTAGTGTTCAAAAAGAGGCATTCTCCAAACTCTGTCTCCTGTCAAAATGCTGGCCTGAAAAAGAAACAGTGATAGTTTGGGCAATTTTTTTTTTTTCCCAAGCCACATTTGTAAGTGCTGTTATCATGCATGTTTATTTTTGTTTAGCTTTGATCAGTCTAAAAATCTTCAGCCCAATATAATATCAGGTGTTTGGAAATACACTGCAAAACAAAATAATGAATCTTACTTTTTACGTACTTTAGTGTTAAGAGGCAAAAATCTAAAGACTGCTTTTTTTTTTTTTTTTTTTTTTTTTTTTTTCTCCTGACACCACAAATCCTTCCCTTCAGGGACTTCTGTAGCCATCACACTTCAGCCACTCACAAGGCCTCTCTGAATTTCTGTCTCTGTGTTTTTAAGCAAGATCAATTATCTTTTTAACATGAACCGATTACTGTCAGTGGTCCAGAGCTTATGCATATGCAGTAAGCTATTAGAACATGCAGATCCTTGACATCATGTGTATGCTGTTTGCTGTATATTAAATCTCATTAAAGAGCTAGTAATTAATACTAAAAATTGTTTTCAATTAAATACAGTACTAACACCATTCCACAAGACTTCAAAATGCAGTAACACACCTTTTAGATTTGCATAAAATAAGATTTTCAGTAATGCTGTAACTTCTCAGTAACAAAAGCTATTACTCAATTTTTATTACAATTTAATAATAATACAGAAGGCCTACCTCATAAAGGTGAGTCCAAAGCCAAGATGAGTTTGTGAACACTCCAGTTGCAGCAGACCCCAATGCAACATCCATGGCACCTACAGAAACACAGCTTCAAGGTTATACAACAAAGGCAAAGGTGAACCTGAGCTCTTCCTATGCATCCTGACTGCTCGCAGAACTTTCAATTTTTAATTCCCATTATCAGTAATTTCCAACTTCAGCAAAAACTAAAAATGTCAGTACACTTGGAGTTTTAAAAGTTTAAACATTTATATAATCTAATAGGACAAAAATTCATAAAAATTATATTCTGTATCTCATTAAACTAGATTTTCCATTTTCAGCTTGATCTTTCTTAGCAACATTTCTAATAAAATGTGTTCAGAAGTAACTGTTTTCTCAAAAAAAAAATCTAAATTTTATTGCTTCCATAGAGAACATACAAGTTAGTGGACTTTTCCTAGTTTATAGACCTCTGCAATTTTCATGCTGATACTTTCCTTTCTGCGAATTTCACTTGCATAGATTTTTGCACAGCATATATGAATTTACTTTAAATGAAAAAAATCCTTATCAAAATACTAAACCATGCCTAAAACAGAGGGATTCCTCAGTGAGATTAAAAATAAAATAAAATAAAATAAAAAGTCAAAGAAATTTCTACAGGAGCTCTCCTCCTTCCTGCTTGGTGCCCAAGGATCCCAAACAGAGAATAATCTATAGTGGGAATGAACTACTTCTTCTTGTATCATGCCCTTTATATGGAAATGCTTTTATACAAGCCAACAATCTTAAAATCAGCTTCCCTTCTGTCCACTGAAATTTTCACAGCATTTCAACTGGTAAAACTGATGGAACATAGTTTAAAGCACTAGTAGATGATATATAGAAAGTTAATTACTTTGCTTAGCATATTCATAAAGCAACACAGTGGACCAGTGTCTGAACTGCTCTTCTATGTTTGCTCTCATTTCAGCTACAGTCATTTCACCCATGACAGCGTGTTACTGCAGTTCATGAGATGCATGCACAATGCTGGTTTTAAAATTATCACCTCATTCAAATACAGCTGTAGAGACAAAACAATTAAACCACATTTTATTATGCCTGAAAATATGCAAACTGCACATAAAAGATAACTAATTCTTGGGAGGATGATAATAACTCTCTTCTATTATCTAGAATCATGGAGACCTGAGCTAGCACACATAATGGAAGAACTGGTGCTGGCTAGGTCAGAGCCCAGGCACTCAGGAAGCTGTTCACAAAGAAGCTATTTTGGCTCCAGCATGGCCAGTGCCATATGGACCTGGCAGGATTCTTCCACAATCACACCAGTATCTCTGCATCACACAGCACCATGAGCTGGGAGGGCTTAGCTCAGAAACAGAAGCACTGGGAAACACTGCAGAAACATCAAAGACTGCATAGGTTTTCCCACTCTTCCTAGTTCCAGCTCAGCTGGGTTGGCCCAACTTCACCGACACTGCTGAGTGTGTACTCTGCATACCAATGCTCTCCCCAGTCCTAGAGACACGGGGGCAGCTGTACAAGTTGTTAGAGCATAAACTGTGCTACCTGTTGTCCTACAACACATAAAATCATAGAATGGCCTGGGTTAAAAACGACCATAGTGATCATCTAGTTTCAACCCCCCCGCCATATGCTGGGCCGCCAATGACTAAACCAGGCTGCTCAGCATCTTCGTTGCTTCTGAATTCAGGTTGACTTTATATATGTAGTGCAACTAATCCACAGTCCCATTACTGAGTGACAAAAAACTGACTTGCAAAATGAGCAGGGAAGGGAACTTGCTTACCTGTTAATGTTGCAGCATTCACAATAGCCCTTGCATTAAAATTGTGGGCATAGCAGAGAGCATCAGCCAACAGCAGTCTTCCTTCTGCATCTGTGTTATCTACCTTCAGGTGCAAAAGTAATAAAAACAGATAAACTACTGAAGACATCCCTTTCACTGATGTATTAAATAGCTATCTGATCGTAAATGCACTGTCACAGGCCCTAGGAACTTCAGGTAATCAAAATTTACTCAAAAAAAATAGTATTGATATACAGTTACGTTTCTAAAATAAAAGCATTTCTGTAGCTGAGGTCAAGTCATGTTTCAGCAGTGCACCCTCCTGTGCATGCTGGGCCTCTGCTCTGCTGGCTCCTCCGAAGAGCCTGGAGGCTGCACAGGTGTCCCAGGGGAGGGCAGGGGGCTGGTTACCATTCCCAGCAAAGCCCCAGGAATCCCAGGGGCTGCTCCTGCGCAAGCACAGAGATCTGGCCAGTGGAAACCACAAAGGAGGAGACAGCACCACAAAGCAGCACAGATGTATGCATAGAAAGAGTTCCTTGTTATACTGGTGTCCCTTTGGACCTTTAAACTTTTTCCCTCTTAAAAAAAATTCAATAGCCCCTTTGCTCCTTCCGCCTTTCAGGGAAAATTCATGATGGATTCTGAAAGATTAATTTTGCAATGTGCTCTAAGCTACTAGCACTTTCTTGCAAATTTCTTCTTGGTGGGGGAATATGTGCCCAGTCTTCTCCCTCAAAGCAGAGGGCAGCTGAACTCAGTTTTGGGAGAAGAACCTCAAGGAATGGAAGGTTCAGCAAGTCAAAGGTGGCAGAATCGCAGAAATCCAGACAGAGAGAAATATTGATTAAGCCGTCTACTTCTTCATGAAATCAGTCATCTACAGCACAATGACTTTCAGTACCATTTAATTATTAGATGAATATGGAACTGTTTGGATTAAATATGAAATATGTATTTCAGGTACTGATTTGGCAAGCTCTTTTGAGCCAACAGGTCCTATGACTCAGAGTTCTGATTGTACAGAGCAGCTTGGCAGGGTAAAGACCTTGGTTATGTCAGCAGGGAACTAATAGTCTTATGTCTTACTTCAGACAGGAGGGAAGTGTCCTGACGGGTCTGCTGGAAGCAATTCACATGTTATTCATTCTGACCGAGAGTCTGTATTTATGAGCATTGTAACAACCTCTTGTGCTAAAAACAAGATTTTCTAGCATGTTCAGTAAATGACCATACTTTTCAGCTTTTCCTAGCAATTTATAAAACACATCTAATCTCTTCAAGCTGTATTTTTATTTTAAAGAATCCTGTGATACCATTTCTAATTAATAACATGCTTCTTACGTTTTGTAAAAATAATACATTGGCACTGTTCATCTTTTTAAAGGGTCTTTTCAAACATGTACAGTGACTGCAGTCATATAACTTGATTGATTAAACCAATTCACTAAAAGTATTCAAAATCCAAGTGTCATACGCATACCTGTATTGTTTTTCCATTCTTGGCTCTAACTACATCCCCAGGTTTGTTTGCCTTACCACTGGGCATATTTTCACAGAGGGGTGCCAAACCTCAGAGAGAAAAAGGAAAGTGCATTACTAGTTTCTTTCTCAGAAAAGATGTAGAAAAAACACAGAAAAAAACCAAACACCTTAAGAAAACAGTACTATTCTCATCTTGAATTTATGCTCAAAATCCAAATTTTCCTGGTTACTGAAAGACACATGGTGCAGTTTTCAGTTAGGGAAATTCCTCTGCATGTTGCCCTGTGCCACCACCACATTCTCTCACCTACACCATTTTACCACTAGGATTTAATTCTACTTTATGCCCAGACAAGCAACATCAGAGGAGTAACAGATATAATCTTACGTCTTCCATAAATGAATAATTAGTCACATGTAAAGGTAGTTCTTTCTTTCTGAAATTAAAAGCTTCTCAAATTAACATTGAGCCATTCAAGCTCTGCTCATTGTAAATAAACATCGTATGATGTCAAGAGGGGTCCCAAGGACTTGCCACAGAACTCAAACCATAAGAACAAATGGAAATGAGCAAAAAAAAAAAAAAAGTCAGTTTCAAAACTCCAGCTACAAATGGGATAACAGGATGAGAGTCACTCCACCATTCCTAGGGAAAACCTGCTCCTGGCATAAAGAAGAAGCGAAGTGTGGACCACCACTTTGCAGTGGAATTACGTACACAGACTTTTGCTCCACTGATGTACACCTTCCCCTTGCATACTTTTAAGTGAGGGTGTCTCGCTGCCCTCTACTGGCTGAAGCATAAAAAATACTACAATACTAGTTTCCTGGAACTCGAAGTTCTCAAACATAAACTTATCCTAGAACAGATTACATGTCATCACCAACTGGTTTTGCCACGGTTCTTAAGTCAGCTCATTTAATTTTAGCTGTGCAACATTTTTGCAGAAAAAATAAGCATTGCTCGTATTTAAAAATAGTATCAGCAAAGGGGTTGGTTTGTTTTAGATTTCTGCTGAGATATTCACCTAAGGAAACAAGAGGTGATCCCTCTTCCTGTTCAGCTGTGGCAAACACTCATGGCGGTAACTTCGCTAACTCCTTTTCATTTTTAATTTATTTTACACATATCCACATTCCTTAATGAAGGATCAGGACTTCTGAAAAAATTGTTGAAAATAAGTTTATTGGCAATCATGTCTTGCCTAAGATCTAAAAATCACACCTTCAAAATTTTAATTCAGTGCTGAAATATTTATTCAAGCAAAGCTAGTAATCTCTGATACACAAGTAAAAATGGAAGAGAAGCTGAGCAAGGGAATGAGACAGACAAGTCTGCAAGAGTCCATGGCATTTCTGTAAGACCTTTACCATTGCTGATACTAGGAAATGACTGTCAAAAAGAAATCTTGTAAAATTAAGATTTTTGTATTCTCACAGGAACACACTTACCAATTATGTTAAGTGGTAGATTTAAAGCTGCTGCTGTCACAATGGCTGAGCAGACAGTTGCTGCCCCTCCCATATCTGCTCTCATCGCATCCATACCCGATGACGGCTTCAGTGAAATGCCACCACTGGAATAAACAGAACAAATCTCATACAACATGCAGCAGTTCAAAGTTGCATACATTGATAATATTCTGTCCATCAGTATGTTTTAACACCAAATAGCACTAAATTTGCTTTCAAATATTTCTGCAACACCATCAACAAGCATACTGAAAGCAAGGTATCTGGGTTTTCTTTTCAGAAAAAGTATGTCCACAAATTATTTCCTCACAATCAAGACACCAAAAAAATCCAAGTAATCTGCAGCAGACTAACTCAATGATCGTTATAATAGCAAAAGAGCACAAAACAAGAACAAAATAGTACACTTGGTAAAATCAGCATGTGGAAGGGGAACAGACTGATAAATTTTTCAGTAGCTATGTGACATGAAAAGCAGTTATAAGGAATTGCTGCAAAGAATGATCCAGATCTCATCTTAAGTATGATCTAGATGTCCAGTGACAGACTGCAACTCTAAACACGTGAATTCTTCATCCAGAGGTTTGCTCAGGCCAAAAAAAAGAAAAAATAGCAAGTTCTTTGTTTTCTTCTCCCTTGAATTTAAATTTTCCCCCTTACAAGAGAGAGGCATATCAGTTCCTACTTTGTCGAATCACTCAAGCTTGTCTTCTCCCCAGGAAGGGCAGCACAGTTTCGTATATAGGCCAAGTTCACTAGAATAGCATTGAACGAAGTGCTGAGCAAAGAAAAAGCATCTCCCCGTTGAACATGAATAGCAGGAAGGCATCTTCCCCCCCTTTAGTTATTAAAATATTAGCATACATACCTATCAAATGTAACTCCTTTTCCTACAAATACCAATGGGGAGTCATTTGTATTAGCATCACCTAAATAGTGAATCTCCAGAAAGACAGGAGGTTCAGCTGAACCCTTAGCTACACTCAGGAATGCTCCCATCTGTTGTGTTGTTATCCAAGACTCTGGTCTGAAATAGAAATACATTATTTATTATTTGTAATGGGACACTTCAACTAAGGTGATTTGGTTTGTTTGTTTTTAAGAGATCACAATTCTTGAAGGTTTGTACACAAACTTAATTCCCTTTTCGTTAGTTACTTTGGAAACCATAATTTAAATCCACCCATTATTGCTTTTTTCTTTTTGTGAAAAATAGGGCATCAAAGTTATTGCTTGGTTTTTGTTTTGTCAACAGCAAAACAACAAAACAAGTTACATTTTCTGCATCAGAAACATTAACCTTTCACTTGCCCATCAGGCTGTAGTCTCTCAAGGCATATGGAGCAACAATACTGCAGCAGGTTACAGTTTAACTTTCTGCTGTCAAGGTGGTTAACTATAACCAAACTTAATTCCCCTCAGTCTCTTGCTTTTCAACAAAATAGCCTCCAATGCTTGCATAACCAGTCAGCCCATTTGCACTGAAGTGCAGTAACTAGAAATGCCGAGGCAAGAAGCATCAGTTATACAAATTCAATTGCAAGGGTTTTTATGACTCCATCTTAAAATCTTTAAAAGTTAAAAAAAAAGTCCTATCAATAACAACAATAAATAGAAGATATTTAATTACCACATCCAAACAAAAAGGCAAAGGCACGTATAAAATCCACTTGGGAAGAAACCAAAAGATATTAGAAAAAAGGTACACAGTATTTGCCCTCTATTCACTGAGTCTTCATCAGGCTTCCTCTTTCACAGCACATGTGTCAATTAAGCAGTAATTGACTGCTTAACTAATTGACAGTTAATCATTTTACTGTGTCACAGTATCTTGCTTAGTCTGCAAACCAGAAGCTCACCTCCTAATAATGAGAGTAGCTTGCAGTCTGAGCATCCCTCATACCTTTTTGACAAACACTTCCCCTGCTTCTGTTACCTGAAGTGGCAGAATGAAGATGAGAGCCCTCTGCAGATCTGAATAGTGTGGAAGGTATCTTACCCTATGGAGGAATCATTTAAATGGAATTTACCTTATATGAACCTTCACATTGCTGAAACTTCTGACCTTCTGTTCAATATGTTCAGCAAATTTGATTGGAGTTATATAATTAGCTGGAGCCTCCATAAGGTACCGAGCGAGGTTCTGACCCTC